TGAAATACATAAAAAACATACGTGATCCGGGTCCTTAAAAATTTTTTCATTGCTCTGACTGCAGTTTTTTGCGATTTTTTGACCTTTTTTGAGGTTTTTTGCATTTTACCTAAAACTGGAAGGTGACGTGGCCAAACGGACTTGAAATCCGGGTTCAGCGGGTCAAAATACGTGTCGGTAGGTAGGTCCGGTCCAAAGTACATTCCACTTTTTTTTTTGTGTGCCAGTGTAATCGAAAGAAAACATTTAAATATAAAACAGTATGAAAAACAGATCATTGTCACGTTTTTGCAGGTAATTCTATTGAATAACTTACGATCGAGAATATAAATCGGGTGATTACTCTGTCTCTTCATCCCATTAAGCTTTAAGTATTTAATGACTTGACAATTATCATCAATAACACTTTTAGGTAGATTTCATAAAATCTATCTATTGCATTTGCCCTTGTGTCAAAATTCACACAGACTTTCGTTACTATATCAATTATTTAGTCGAGTAAGGCTTAAAAATGACGTTGGTTTGAAAGTTTATATATGTATGTATATATATATATATATATATAACGCACAGCTTGTGGACACGATAGCTCCCACAATTCTTAGTGAATCTTTATGAAACTTGGTAGACTTATTCTATAGGCAATTAGCTTGGATGAGGTTAAAAATGAGCTGAATCCATCAAATAGTTTAGAAATAGCAGCCGTTTAAAATTTTCGAAAATCTAAAAAATCACATGTTTGGTGACTTTACTAGGGAATAACTTTTTATTGAGAAATGATAGATCGTTTTTCTGCATTTCGTTTCAAAGCTTATGAAATTCTCTTTAATTTAACCTATAACAAATTTACTTTTCATCAATTACTCCAAAAGTTTAAGAAGCTAAATGTCATCTGAATCAGTTTCAGACAAGCACACAACACAACGCGACTTGTGGACACGATTACTCCCAGAATTCTTAATGATTCTTCATGAAATTTGGTAGACTTATTCTATATACAATTAGCTTGGATGAGTTCAAAAATGAGCTAAATCCCTCAAATAGTTTAGAAATGGCAGCCATTTGAAATTTTCGAAAATCTAATAAATCACTGTATTTTAAAATTTGGCAGCTGATTTACTTTTCTGATAAACTTGAGGAATAATAATTATTCATAATATCGTAAATAAAATCATGGATTACATGAAATCTACCTTCCATCTTGGCTGATGCCAAATGGCATTTTATTTTTATGACAGTAGATACTGTAAAAAAACACTTTTTTTTATAGATAGTACAAAAAAACCGTTTTGAAAAAATAGTTCGGCGGACGTCGGGTTGTCTGTATGTGCTGATGATGTATGCCGTCACGGTAACGCCCAAAAAACCTCACTTTTTGAGTCTAATTTTTTTCATTCACTTCAGTATCATTCTTGGTAATAAACTATTCAAAATTATCGTCTAATTCAATGTACTCTAACAATTTCCAAACCCATGTTCCTCCGACATATATATAATATATATATTATATAGTTCAATTTTTGGCCACACATGAACGCTTCCGAATTTTGACATAAATTGCTAGCAACGATATGCTAAAAGAACGGAAAAAAATACTTTTTTCAAAAACATACGTTTGAACAGCGAGAAAAAATGTTGAAATCAATTTTGATAATTTTATATTCGACCACAATTAATTTTTTGAAACATAATCCCTCATTCGATTTCAATCATAAATTTATAGATATACCTATAGGTAGTATTTACTATTATTTTGAAACAATTAATAATATTTTATAGTAGAACAGAAATTGTTAATAGATTAACTTACTTTTGTCACAAGTATCGTTAATTAATTTACGTATCTGCTATTTAACTTCACTGGTGACGTCTCTAAATTTTCTCTTTCTTGACCGCTCTTTGCCAGGTGTCCTGAAGGGTTTACCAGAATGGCTGTGAGCAACGTACTTGGATGCACTCGTAACTGAACATTTTAAAAGTGCTGCTGTTCGCTCTCTACAAAATACATGAAAATTTTATAAGAAATTTTAAGCTTATCATAGAGATTGGATCATTGTACACATTTTACTGTGGAAGACATTTTATATAAGATGTAGAATGTTTTAACTAAACTTTTTTAATTTTTGTCGGAAACTCTGTTATCTAATTGTATTCGAAAAAAAATTTTGGAAAACATCCTAAAGGCCTTTTCTGCAACTTCCCGCTACTTTTGTAATTAAGTGCTTAAAATTGCACTTATTATGTTTCTGAGTTCAAAAATGTAATTTTCGTGTCATTTTTAGCTCTTCGAGCTCAAAGTCTGCTAAAGGTTTAATAAAACACTATTTTTTGAATTTTCAAATCGCAATAATATTTGAATGAATGAATCGATTTTCACATGGCTGGCCATTCGACGCAGTGTTTTCAAATTCTATGATATACCTTCGAACACAAATTGAATAGACCGAAAATTTCGGTGAAATTCGAGAAAAACACTTTTTTTTAATTTTTTTCGTTAACGGTAAATGTTTTTCGTTAACAAATAACTCAACAACGAATCAACCGATTTTCACCGGCTTGGTAGCGATCGACGTGGCTTTTCGATGTTAAGAGCTGTTTAGTTTTTCGAATTGATCGGTCAAGCCGTTTAAAAGTTATTTAAAAAAAACCACATTTGGAAAAATTTTTTCGGTCTGATCAATTTGTGTTTAAAAGTATATCATAGAATTTGAAAAACTGCATCAAATGTTGCTAACCACGTGAAAATCGATCTATTCATTCAAAAGTAATTGTAGTTTGAAAATTTAATTAATAGTTTTGTATTAAACTTCTATCACACTTTTGAGCTTGAAGAGCTCAGAAGCTGAGAACAGCTAACTTTTTGCGCTAGAAAATCTCAAAATAATACATAAATTATATTTTTAAGCTCTACAAGCTCAAAAGCGTCATAAGTGCAATTTTGAGCGTTTAGATATGGAATTAGCGGAAAGTTGCAGGGATGGCCTTTACGGTCAACCGTTTTCCCAATTTTTTCTACATCTCAACGGCAAGTTGTATCACCTAGCGCAAAGCTTACGGTTTTTTCAGAATTAAGTGTTCTACATAAGTGTTCAAAATGGCCTAAAAATAAATGACACTGGCGAGGTAGTACACTGAACGAAATTTTTCTACAGAATTCTATTTTTATACCATTATCCCATAACAAATGAGACGTACAGAAAAAAATGCAGGAGAGAAACTTGTTGATAATTTAACTCCCATAAAAAAAGTCCAGTTAACTGAACTGCAAAAATCGATATTTTTTTACTAAATTTGACCTAGTATAATTCATAAAAATTTCATACAAAAAATATGTAAAGCTCAATATATCCAAAAAGATGGATCTTAGCAATTTGGTTAGGGGCCATTCATTAATTACGTAAGGGTTATTGAGGGAGAGGAGGGGTTAAGAAAATCTCTACAAGTTCTTACGTTGGGGGGAGGAGGGGTAAAATTCATTCTTACGTAATATTTCGTGAATCAAAATTCAAGATTAAAAATCTTTCCGTTTCGGATTCCAAATCGTTTTCTTAATTTTAAAGTGTACAGTTGAATTTTTATTTTATTTAAATAATTTTTGTTGCTTATTAAAAAAAGTAAAAAATAACTTATTAAAATTTTATATGTTTTTATTGTTATCCATGTTTGATTCTATAGAAAAAATTATAGTACATTTTTCCGCGTATTATCATATTTTTATTATTTAAAAAATAAAAAAACATTTTCATCTACCGTTACATCTGATGAGCTACCAATTGTCTCTGATCGGATGACATGGATTAACAGTCCGTTTAGTCCGGATGAAGATTAATAATTTTAATTGATTTAGCTTTAACTATTTAATTTATGTTTTTGAGACTAATTTAAAACTAGTCAAATATTATTTTATGAAAAATATTATGAGTTTAAAGTTTTATTGATTTATGTTTGCTAGTATTATTTAAATTATTCCTTGTTAAAAACTAAAAATTATGGATCCACGTTGAACTGTAAGTTTTAGTGAAACTGATCCTTTTCTAACATAAAAGTTTATTATTTAGAAGATCAAGATAGAATCTTACGTAAGAAAGGGGAAGGGGGGGTTCGAGAAATCTTACGTATACTTACATGGGGGTAGGGGGGTCAAAATTGACCAAAATTGTCCTTACGTAATTAATGAATGGCCCCTTAACTTATTTTTTTCTATAGAAAATTCAAGTTTCTACGAATTTGTTCTCGGTACATTTCTTCAGTAGGTCTCATTGTTGAGATAATACCGAAAAAACGAGAATTCTGTAGAAAAATAAGCTTCAGTGGCCCGTACAACACCTTATCGATGTGAGTTGTCAATCGCCGTGGACACTTTTGTAGAACAGTCGATTCCGAAAAAATCACGATATTGTGCCAGGTGATATCAAAAAATTACGAAGAGAAGTAGAAAATAAGAAAAAATTCAAAGCTTACATATGATTCAAATAAAAATTTCCATTTGCCTTGAGTTAAAATACTCGGTAATCCAGAAAAATTCTTTTAATTCATATTAATTTATTTACTTATTAATTAATTAATTTATTTATTTATTGATAAATTTATTACTTTATTTATTCAAATCCATGCCGAATGGCAAGTATACATATAGTATACATAGTAATTATAATGAAGTAAACATATATTTGTGAGGTGTGAATATAATAAATTTTTCGAGAATATCGTTTCTATAAATCAGTAGCATGGTAAATGAATAGTAAAACTATAAATTAATGAAACGTAGCTTTGAAAGGTTAGACAGATTCAATACAGATAATTTAATAGCACATAGATATTTTGAAATAAATCAGCATGTAAATCGGTTTATGTCACGTTTTTATATGTATGTTATTAAGTAACACATTAATAGTAGTTCTTCATATCATTTAACCCTTCGTTGGTCGCGCTTTTTTTAGTTTCTCGCTCGCGCTATAGCGAGTCTCTATAGGTTGAGTAGTTGTTAGGCGGCGATTCGCTCATAGCGCGACCAACGAAGGGTTAATTGATTCAGTAGACTGGGCTCGGATTATTAAGTTGATGTACATGGCTGACCTTCTGGTTCCTATTTCAGAAGAATTCATAGGCACAGACTTTGAAGGTGTCAAGACTGAGTGAGTTTTTGTCACTTCACTAGGCAACTCCTTCCACAATCAGAAAGTAGATACCACAAAGGAATGTTCGAATGCTGTTGTTGAGAAGTGTGGAGTCACAAAGGAGATGTTGTTATTTTTAGCTGCTATTCTCTCAGATCTTCTAATATCTGGAGGTTCATCCATAAAGAGATTTTTTAAAAATTTTGGCTGACCAGTGTTGAGAACTTTATAGAGAAAACATACCAAACAGTTACGTCATTTAGATTAGATCGTAAGCCAGTTTAGAGACTGTTTATAGAAAGTAATATGCGCATCACGTCTTGAATTGCAAATAAATCTGATAGAATTGTTTGAAAGACTTAGCAATTTATAGTCTAAGTTTTTGGATGAATCAATTAGTACGACAGTCGACTTTGTCTAAAGGTTCCACGTCAGGATAGGACTATTGCTTAAAGGTTCTCTCCTCTCTCTGAACATCGCGCGTAATGGATGCGCAATAGAAAACATTAGTCTTTTAAGCATTTAAAACGCGCGCTAAAATTATTAACTCTGATTGGTTATAGTACTCAAGAGTAGGGGAATATATGTAGATATATATAAGACTAGCTGTTACCCGCCCGCTCCGCTGGGCACTTTATAGAATTGTATTTTGAGATCTAGACTTGAAATTCAATTGGAGTATTGTTTTGACTTGCACAGATTCCAAATTCTATCGGCGAATATCCATTGTAACTTTCAATGTGCAATCACTATAACATTCCCGTTGCTTTCTCAAAAAATAAATAATAATTTTTGGATTTACAATTTTAAATTTTGATTTTACGAAATCTCTTAAAATGAGTAGCTAAATTTCTTTTCCACATCTCAAGTGTTTAGAAAATGTATTCATTTTAATCTGTTACATTCCCGCGATCCCGTAATAAGAACAATTCATCGGTTATGTGATCAGCAAAAATAAAATGTATGCAAAATACTCAGTCCGTTGACTATATAGCTACATGTAAAATTAAATTTTAAAAATCTTACAATGACTTTTTCGCCGCTGCCAAAGAGACGATTGTTGTAAGAAAATATAATTATTATAAAAGGAAAATATTTTAATCCGTTGACCTTGGAGGCTATCCCTGTAATTACCTGTTTCTCTTGGGATTCTATGAAATTTTTTATCTGTAGAATATATATTTGAAGAATATGAATTTTTTGACAACTATCACTTCTGCATTCCTATGTGAGAGAAAAATGCCGTAAGATCCTATTCGAGATGATTTTTACATTATGAATAAAATATTTTAAAAAAACTTCGAGTGCATGGAAACTATTGTTTTGAAAAAAGAGATTTTCACTGTAAACACCTCCGCAGTCCCTTTTGGAGTTGGAATTTGATAAAATTCATTCTTAGCTGAACTTGACATGATACACGAAGACTCCCACCAAATTTGAAGTCTGCCGAAGTTCCAGTTTTGAAATTAAAATTTTAGATTTAAACACCCACCCCCGCAATTTCTATCGAAAGTAAACTTTATTGAAATCCATTTTGAGATGATCTTTATAGGAGAAATAAAAGGTTTCTACCAAATTTAGAGTTTTAAGCGGTAGAGGCAGCCACGAGGCACGCGTCTGACTTTGGCGATCACCCAAGCTAAGCAGCATTGACTGCGATTAGTACTTGGATGGGTTACCGCTTAGTCAGCGCTGGCCAGCGCGTAGGTCTCCGTGCGCTAGGAGAGGGGACTAATGTTCCGGTAATCGATAAAAGAAGAGTATTCTTATCGATTACCGTGAGCTTAGCCCTGCTCTGATTGTACTGGCATGGGTTCTTCTCTGTGGTTTCCCCATGTCACTATTCCAAGGGCCTAGGAAGAGGTGAGGAATAGGGCAAATGCAGTACAAAAAAGCACAAGTCGGTCCACAGACGCAAAAAACCAGTAGGAGACGAGAGGACCACTGAAGTGGGGGTGAATAGGATAAAAAAAAATTAGGGAAACGGTTGACCCTGAAGGCCATCCCTGCAACTTCCCGCCAATTCTATACCTATACGCTTGAAATTGCACTTATGACGTTTTATTTATTTATTTATTTATTTTTCAAAATTTTTAGACCCTGAAGCCTTAGCTCCCTAAGGGCCTTACATATATATTATAATGAGCTTCTCGCCGGCACTGGCGTCGACAGGGCCGGAGAGCACCACCTAAATTGGCTTACCTGGGTTTCGAAGGTAGTTGGGCGCCAGGAACTTACCGTTCCAAAGTTTGAAGTAGTTGCTGATCGTCGTTGGGCGGCGGGTCGATGATGAAGAGATTCAAAATTTCGAATAATCAGCGAAAGTAAAAATATTAAATCTACGGGATCTCGGGGAGGGAGGAAGCAACAAATTTAGTGACCGAAATTTCAATTAACAGTTTATTTTAAAAATCGCCAATATAATTTATAAGTTTCGCAAGTTCGGATCAGAACGATTTACTTCTCGTCGAGATAGCGGCAATAATAACACACCAAAAAAAAATAATAATAACTGTGATTAGTCGACAATTCTGTTAGTAATATAATAAAATAGAATATAAAATACTATTACTATTCTTCAGTGACCTAATCAATTAATCGATACAAAAATTAATCGGAATCGGAGTAACGCATAACCAAAAAAAAAATTGAGAACAGAAAATTAATTAACCTCAAATTGGTTAATAACTAATTATGCGGCGGGTAACAAATTAATTCATTTACATTGAGTGAAAATCAAATAATATTCAATAATTTAATTTTTAATTAACCTCAATTTGATTAATAATTATTTATACGGCGAAATAACAATTGGATTTATTTTTAAATAAATTGAAACGTAAATAATTTAATAATTTAATTTTTAATTAACCTCGATTTGATTAATAATTATTTATACGGCGAAATAACAATTGGATTTATTTTAAAATAAATCGAAACGTAAATAATTTAATAATTTAATTTTTAATTAACCTCGATTTGGTTAATAATTATTTATACGGCAAAAATAACAATTGGATTTATTTTTAAATAAATCCAAAAAGTACTTAATTTAATAATTTAAATTTTAATTAACCTCAATTTGGTTAATAATTATTTATACGGCAAAAAATAACAATTGGATTTATTTTTAAATAAATCAAAACGTAATTAATTTAAAAATTTAAATTTTAATTAACCTCAATTTGGTTAATAATTATTTATACGCCAAAAATAACAATTGGATTTATTTTTAAATAAATCCAAAAAGTACTTAATTTAATAATTTAAATTTTAATTAACCTCAATTTGGTTAATAATTATTTATACGGCAAAAAATAACAATTGGATTTATTTTTAAATAAATCAAAACGTAATTAATTTAATAATTTAAATTTTAACTAATCTCCAAGTGATTGTATGACGAGTTACAATTTCAGTAAATTGAAATTGTCGAATACTGGGAAATTTGAGAAGCTCGAGGTAACGAATTCTCACGTGGTGAGTCACTACACACACATACGTCACACAAACCCAAGGTACCGTACCTCAGAGTGTCGTCACTCGCTCATAGAAAAATTCCACAAGAAATTTACTGTGGGATTTATTGACAACAAAAAAAATAATCCTGGTGAAATTCGGCCAGGTTCACGACACAGATCGCGGTGAGGACACCCGGAAGTAAAACAATCTCGATCAGACTTACCCCGTGGCCGTAGTAAACTCCTAGAGGTCGGTGCTGGCTCGTCAGGAAAAACAATCCCGCCAATTGGCGGGAAGACTGGCGGAATGGCGTCGACTGCTCGGCGATGGCGTTGACCCACGTGCACTTGTTGACAACAAAAGCAATTACTGGCACTCGGCAATTTCACACAACGTGAACGATCGTCAAAAATACGCAACGAGGGTACACTTTGCGGTTGTTACAATTTTATTCCTTAATAGACGAATTGTAATTACGCGTGTCAAAATTTTGCGCACCAACAAGCACGGCTTCCAGATCAGAATTAATTGTTATTATCGCTGCCTGCTCGGCAACACGTGCTCTTTTCTTTTCCGTTGGTACCAAAGCTCGCGTCCAATCAGCTCACAGTTTATGCTAGCCGGCCGTGGTATCGCGGGATGTGTCCAGTGTACCGTTGCGATCGATGATTGGTCGATATACCACTTGGTTCATTTTCCAGGGTGCAGATGGCGCCTCGCTCGACTGAATTTGCTCCAACGCTGTCGTCATTGGCAGATTTGAATTTACCTCATTCCAACGTCGTCGTCCAGATGTCTCACCGGTCGTCGATGGCTCCGTGAAAATCGTTGGGTTCGCCTGATCGCCCTAAAATCGTGTCGCTCTCATTCTAGCATACTCTTTACAATGTTTACACTCATTTGTACCTGCTTCAAAATTTTTGGCGCTTTACTCTCCTACCTGTCTTACCTCGAGCTTCGCACTCTGATCATGGGACCGTAGTGGGGCGACACAGTCACGTCGAATCTCCGCTTTCCTCCAGCTGAGCCAATATAATCAAATAATAATAATAAAAAATAAAAATAAACAACAAAAAAATTAATCAGAGTCATCATTTGAAATGGAAAATTATTCCCATGTCACAATATTAATACATAATAATAATAAAAGTTATAAACAGTAATGGAAATAATAATAATATAGTAAGAATAAATAGCGTTGTCTCAAAGCAAAGTCCATCAAAGTAATTAATTTAATGACTCTAGATTATAGAACTGAAGAGATCAAAAATATAAGTTTAAATTTAAATATGATTATAAATGGGGCATTCCACGCCAAATCAACCACTTTTGACCCTGACCCTTTTTTGATTTGGCTGAAAGTTTACCATCCTTTTTTACCCTATCAAAAACGTCTCTCATAATTTTTTCAAATTTTTTTACCGAACCAAAAAAAAGTTCCGAATTTTTCAAAAAAACCGCTTTTTTATTTTTAAATTGCCATAACTTTTTCAAAAATTGGCTTATCGGGACGTTTTTTTTCAAAATTTTTGTTATTAAATGTTCTTTTTGGAAAAAAATATAAAAAAATTCTTTAAAGCTATCTTCATCGTTATTTTTAAAATTTTTAGAAAAAACTCCGAATTTTTTGATGAATACCATTTTTAATTTCTTTTTTCTTTTTCTCATTCTAAACTTTGACATTTTTTACAGATATCATGAAATTTCCAGAAAGGTGTTTTTCCGATTTTTATTTTTTCTTTTCAATTAAAAAAAAAAATTTTTTTCTTTTGTCGTATTTTTCATACCACCGGTCCAAAAATTTACGGGAATCCTCAAAAAACAAGAAAAAAGTATAGAACCAAAAGTTGAACATGTTTAACATTGAGAAAATCAATTTTTTTTTAATCAAAGAAAAAATTGAAAAACAACAAAAAATATAGAACTAAAAGTTAACCAGATTAGCTTCTCAGAATTGCTTTTAAAATTTTTAATCCTTGTGAAGGCTCAAATCTATTTTCAAATTACTCTAGAAGTCGTCGAGAAATGATAGTTTGCGCCACCAATGAATCCTGCTCATAAAAAAAAAAATTAATTAAGTGCCATCATTAGAAACCTTAGTTCACCAAAAATAATTAGCTTCTTTTTCTTAAACTTTTTGTAAATGACGTTAAATCAGTCAAATATCAAGGTTATGTAATAAAAACGAATGAAAATCGCATTAAAAACAAATGAATAAAAAATGAGAGTCTTTTGTTTTTCTTAGCGGGAAAAATGTATGTAAAAGTAAATCGTAAAAAAAATGAGAAATGATTGATTAAATCCAAAAGATAAGTAGCCCATAACCACCCTGTTTAAAATTTCCAATAGGATCCCATCAAAAGCGCTAAAAGCCACTTAGAAACCCATAAATTTTATTGGTTTCTAAGTGGCTTTTGTCGCTTTTGATGGGACCTTATTGGAACTTTTTAACAGGGCATCTACGGAAAATTCTGCGTCGAATGGTAGCAGTCCCATCCCGATAGATTCAGTAGTTTTCACGTCAACTTTAGTCAAAGAAAAATGTTTTTATTAGTTTAAGAATCATTGCATTTCAGTCATTATAGTCATGTATTAAACCATTTGACAAAACTGTTTTAATTATAAAACTTAGAGTATCGGAGAATTGTTCATTTCAACACCCACCATTCATTAAGCATTAAGTCAAAAAAACAATTGTTTTTCAATTTTTTCTTTGATTTAAAAAAATTGATTTTCTCAATGTTAAACATGTTTAACTTTTGGTTCTATACTTTTTTCTTGTTTTTTGAGGATTCCCGTAAATTTTTGGACCAGTGTTATAAAAAATACGACAAAAGAAAAAAATTTTTTTTTTTAATTGAAAAGAAAAAAAAGAAATCGGAAAAACACCTTTCTGGAAATTTCATGATATCTGTAAAAAATGTCAAAGTTTAGAATGAGAAAAAGAAAAAAGAAACTAAAAATGGTATTCATCAAAAAATTCGGATTTTTTTCTAAAAATTTCAAAAATAACGATGAAGATTGCTTTATCTTTAAATTCTTATTTTTTTATATTTTTTTCCAAAAAGAACATTTAATAACAAAAATTTTGAAAAAAAAAACGTCCCGATAAGCCAATTTTTGAAAAAGTTATGGCAATTTAAAAATAAAAAAGTGGTTTTTTTGAAAAATTCGGAACTTTTTTTGGTTGGGTAAAAAAATTTGAAAAAAATATGAGAGACGATTTTGATAGGGTAGAAAAGGATGGTAAACTTTCAGCCAAATCAAAAGGGGTCAGGGTCAAAAGTGGTTGATTTGGCGTGGAATGCCCCAAATATAAATATATAATAAATAATTCGTAATTTGAACAGTAATGCAATGATAATTATGTAACGTCTTTATCCACAAAAAACTTGTAGCACTTTGACCGAAATTCATTGTAATCAGCAATTGTCACAATCTCCTCCGGTAACTGGTTCCACGTCCTGACTGCCGTGACAATAAATGAGTTGTCGAATGTTGTGGTTCGAGCAAATGGCAAGCACAGGACATCAGTCTGCCTGACAGAGCGTACGCGAACCGAAGTCAACAGATTGAAGTCTTGCAACAGTATTCTGTTATGACCAAATCTCAGCATTTTGAAAACAGTGCATGCTAATAGGAAATCTCGCCGACTCGATAAAGTCAGTCAACCAAGTAGCCTTCTACTCGGAGTAACATGATCATACCTCGCCAATCTGAAGATGAACCTGATGCAGGCATTGAATTTTCTTTGCAGCTTTTTCTGTAAAGTGCCTGACATATCAGTATAGGCCAATGTGCAGTAGTCGAAAATCGGAAAAATTAACATTGAAACTAATCTTTTCCGCATTGGTAGATTAAATAAGTCGTTATTCATTTTCAATCTAGCGAGGCAATACATTGAACGGTTACACATTGCAATAACTTGATCATGCCACGAGAGAGTATGATCTAAGATGATACCCAAGTATTTAACAGAGACCGAGTAATTAGTAACAACATCACCAGTCACAATTTTCCTAGCTGAAACACAAGCCTGATCTTTTACATGCCAAGGGGAATTAAAAATAATTGATTTAGTCTTTGCAGCATTGAGCTTTAACAAATTATTAGTACACCACTCCACTATGAGATCGACGTCAGCATTCAGCTGTAACACTGCATCATTCAAGTCAGATATTGAACAGGATACATAAACAACCAAGTCATCTGCATAAAAGAGATGCTTACTTTCAATCTGCAAGCCCAACGTTGAGACAAACAACGAGAACAAAAGCGGCTCAAGCACGCTGCCCTGTAGAACACCACTCCGAGAACATTGCCATGAAGACAAACAGTCTCCATGCTTAACAGCTTGGGATCTGTTAGTTAAATACGACTGCATCCATAATAGCACTCCAGACGATAAGTTCAAGTTCTTGAGTGTCAGTAACAACAAATTATAATCAACGCAATCAAACGCCTTGCTGAAATCAAAGAAAACAGCAACAGTAACCTTATGGCCATCAATAGTAAGGCGAATGTCATCACATAGTCGAAGCACTGCAGTCTGAGTGTTCATTCCTTCCTGAAAACCTGTCTGGTGAGGATCAAGTAGATTATTCTCTTAAATATAGTGAATAAGTTGATCATGCACACAACGCTCCAAAACTTTTGATAAAGGACACAGGATAGAAATGGGTCTATAATCATTGCTGGACAGAGGACACCTCACTTTGGGCAGTGGTAATACAGTCGATTTTTTCCATTGATCTGGAAACTGGCATGTCTTTAGTGAGATATTAAATGAATTTACAATTGATGGCAGTAAAATTTGCTGCAGTACTTTATAAAACGTAATGGAAAGACCATCTGGACCAACAGCTGCAGTAGTAATGCGCTTTAGATTTCGCTTAACATCTTCCTCAGTGATTTCTACGAAATTAAACTGGTTAAGGGCGTTGCTATCATTGATACAGACGTTTTGATGATTAACGTAATTGCGCCCAGAACTGCCAACAGACACGAAGTGGTCATTGAGTTGATTCAAATCAAGATCTGGCAAGATAAATACTTTCGAGGAATCTCTTAAAAGACCCAGTCTTCTGAAGTCATTCCAGACGGCTTTCGGACACCTAGGATACCTGAACCTGTCCTGCAAATAATTCTTTTTTGCCTCAATAATTCTCTTTTTTACAAGTCGGCGGACATTGCAGTACTCCTCATAAGCATAACCAGATCTACGATAAATTCTATACAGCTTATCCCTGCGATGCTGTAAATCGCGAATGACACTAGATATCCAAGGAGCAGACGGACGAGATGCCTTTATTACATGCTCCGGAGCAATTGAGTCAATAATATGAAACACATTTTGGTTTAGATACGAAATACTGTCATCAACTGATTGATAATTATCGTGGAATAATGCTGATGAGTTGCCGACTATATCAGCTATTGATTTATTTGTAATGAGACTCCAGTTACGGCAGCGGAACGTCGAAGGGGAGTGCCGTGGAACACTAAAATTTAACGTAACACTAATAATGTCATGGCCAGAAAGAAAAAGCACATCTGATTGACATGAGTCAACCAAATTATTAATGTCATTAATTATACAATGATCAATCCATGTGTGTGACGTACCATGATGATGTGTAGCACTAAATGGAACAATGTTTAAATTATAAGAGTTACAGAAGTCATTCAAATGCGCAGACAAATTAGTATTAACTAACATATTTATATTCAAATCACCCAATATCACAATATTCTTATAGAACATGAAAAGCTCACTAAAGTCTCTTTCAAAGTCATTCAGCAAATCAGTATTCGGGGGACGATATATCACAGAGATTAAAATTTTGTTACGTAACGTAGTCCATACTTCAGCAATAATATACTCTGGATAACCATCCAGAAGGTTCGAGGAACAGTTAATAATTCTTGAAGACAATGTATTACGTATGAATAGTAAAACACCTCCACCGTGACGTGTCTTCCGGTCATTACGAAGCAGGTGAAACTGAGGAAGATTGAGTTGAGCATCAACAACACTTGAAGACAGCCACGATTTCGAAACAGCGATAACATCATAATCCAAAACCCGAAAATGATCTCGAAACTCATCAATGTGCGGAATCAATGATTGCGCATTGAGGTGACAAATTTGAATATTAACTAAGGAACTGCAAATATTAACACTATGCTGAGAGACAACTACTCTACGTTGTTGGCTTAAGCCAGGTATCTTCGTTATATCCATCGACGGCAATATCTTCAGTGGCTGAGAGCCATCCTGAAGTCTAACACAAACCGCACCTGCCGCAATCCAAACATCTTTCTTGTTTATCATCGGAAATTGCCTCACAATACTCTTACGCAATTTGTACAGTGTAGATGAAAATCGCCTGTTGATGTAATCTGATAGTTTACGCGCACCTTGAACTACTATATCAGCCGTAATATTTCGATGAACTTTCTTTTCAAAAGAGTACGATATTACCGGAGGCGTACCCCAGGGTTCTGTTCTGGGTCCACTTCTGTGGAATGTCATGTATGATGGCCTGCTGAGACTGAATCTACCAAGAAGTGTCAAGCTTGTTGCATACGCAGACGATGTAGCTGTCGTAATCGTTGCGAAACACTTAGATGAGATAAACCACATGTTTAGTAACACCTTTGAGAAAGTTAACCGGTGGATGGATTCAATGAATCTACAACTGGCTAAACAGAAGACTGAGGCTGTGCTTATTACCAGCAGAAAAGTAATAGAGACCATAAAACTGAAAGTCGGAGAACAAGAAATCACATCATAACCATATATCCGATATCTGGGAGTGATGCTTGATGCCCGACTCAACTTTAAGCAGCAAGTCGAACACGTGAGTGTAAAAGCATCAGCAGTGGTAGCTAGCTTAGCACGGCTGATGCCAAACGTCGGAGGCCCGAAGCAGAGCAGAAGACTACTACTATCATCTGTAGTCACATCAGTGCTCACTTACGGAATATCTATCTGGGCGGACGCACTAGAAATGCAAGAATCATGGAGAAAGGCTGGACCAGTATATCGTCTGAGTGGCCTAAGAGTAGCTTGCGCCTTCCGCACAATATCTGAGGAAGCAGTGTGCGTCATTTCTGGAACTCTACCTCTCAGAGTCCTAGTTGAAGAAAGACGGAACCTTTACCAACGAAAGAGGTCAATAACACTGAGCGCAGAAGAACTCAGAACGGAACAAAGACAGCACAGCATCGCACGATGGCAATCTCAGTGGGATGCCGCAGAGAAGGGTAGATGGACGCATCGTCTCATACCAAAGATCGACATTTGGCTGAACCGGAATCACGGTGAGGTCAACTACTAGCTAACACAGATGTTGTCAGGACATGGCTGCTTTCGGTCTTATCTTCACCACTTTAGGCATGACGACTCTCCGGAGTGCCCGTCCTGCCCTGGAGCCACTGAAGATGCAGAGCACGTTTTTTTCGAGTGCTCGCGTTTCAATCAACAACGTGAGGAGCTGGAGAAGATCCTGAAGAAGACAATTTAACCAGAGTCAATCGTAGAAGCAATGCTGTCTTCAGAAGCTGGCTGGAATGCAACGAACACTTTTGCCACAGAAGTGCTTACAGAGCGGCGTTCCATCTAGAGAAAAAGAGCAAAAGAGAGAATCTAGAAGGAAGATAACATCTTAGCCACCAGAAGGAAGAGCGGCAGCTAATTCCTCCCCCCGCGAAGAAATGCCTTACGGCGGTACCATGGGGGATCAGAGAATAGAAGAGAAAGGGGTTTAGGGTTTAGTGGGTAGAGGCGTCAGTGTCAAGTTTTAGTATGACGCTGCGTCGAGTCGCCACATATCCGGGCCAACATCTATGCCTAGAATCCGTAAAAAGGATTTCCCCCCCCCTAAAGGGAAAAAAACACACACATACACACACACACACACACACACACACACACACACACACACACACACACACACATTATTCATAGATACCTACAATGCGTGTCTCAAAGAAGGAGTCTTCCCTGGAAGGTGGAAGTGGCAAAGACTTGTACTGCTTCCGAAAGGAAAGAAGCCACCTGACGAACCTTCATCCTACCGTCCACTCTGCATGTTAGACACGGCGGGTAAGATATTAGAGCAGATAATTCACCAAAGAATATAAGCAGTAGTTGATCCACTCCTGGCAGATAATCAATTTGGTTTCCGAAAAGGACGGTCAACTGTGGATGCAATAAACCTGGTCGTCAACATAGCTAAGGATGCGATTGCTGGAAAGAGATGGAATCGCGGCACAAAAAGTATTGTTTGGTGGCTGCATTAGACATCAAAAATGCTTTCAACTCTGCTAACTGGGACTGTGTAATGCGCGCCCTTGAAGAGAAACGAGTCCCAGGGTATTTGCGTAGAATGATAGCAAGCTACTTCACAAACAGAGTCCTCAAATACGACACAAAAAGTGGTCCTAAGGAGTATGATATTACTGGTGGTGTACCACAGGGCTCAGTTCTAGGTCCTCTGCTATGGAACATCATGTATGATGGTCTCCTGAAAATAGCATTGCCAGCAGAAGTGAAACTGGTAGCATATGCAGCTGATGTTGCTGTGATGATTGTCGCGAAGCACCTTGAAGAGATAAATCTGGCCTTCGACATTACATTTAGACGGATTAACTTATGGATGGATACGGTGAACTTGCAACTAGCTAAGCATAAAACCGAAGCAGTGCTCATTACCAGCAGGAAAGCGATAGAAATACAAATACAGTTCGTTAGTTAGAGGCTGTCAGCTAAGCCCTATATGAGTTTAGACCAAATAATTATTTTTTTCATGTCGCTGGGCAAAAGTCTTTAAGTTATATAGAAGCTGAGATACAAATATTCGAAAATCTGTGAAAAATCGAAGTTTTTAAAAATTCAAAAAATTCTCCAGCGGCCGGATTTGATATATCGGGTCCAAATTTTCAGGACCGTCTTCTTTTAAGGTGTACTTTAGAGTAAATTAATTTATGACTGTCTTAAAAATTATTTTTATATGTAAAATTGGTTCTGATGCGCTGACATTTTCATAAAGCTAAAAAAAAAATTACTCATGTATCAAATTTTTTTTTTTTTATCTCATTAACTGTATGAAAATCATGACCCGAATTGAATGAATTAAATTTTCAAAAAGTTCCACAGAATTATCAATTTATTACTCTACACGGAGAGAAAAGATAAGTTTGGAAAGTCAGCAAAGTGCACGTCTCATAACGCTCATTTATCACAAAAAATCTGGAAAATGGTTGACCCTACCCGAGAAAAAATGTTTCTATATAATCATATATAATTGTATATAATCATATATGATTATATATGATTATATATGGAATCACATATATAATTATATAGAATTATATATAATCATATATAGTTATATATAATCATACATGATTATATATAGAATTGTATATGAGGTTATATATAATCATATATAATTATACATGACTATATATAGAGCAATGTACAGCCAAGCAATATTATATATAATTATATATAGATATATATATAATCATACATGATTATATATGGAATTGTATATGAGGTCATGTATAATCATATATAATTATATATGACTATATATGGACCAATATACAGCTATGCAAGATTGTACATAGTCTCATATATAATTATATATAATTATATATGCTTATATATAGAGCGACTGCGTGGCTGAGCGGTTTAAGTCTCAAACTGCCCATACAACAGTCGCTCAGGCGTGGGTTCGAGCCCTGGCGGTCGCAATTTTTCTGCGATTTCCAAGGCTTGCTCCCGTGCCGACTGTACCCTGACCAGGTTTCTGTGGTTTCCTTGGTCACTGTGCTAAGGGTGGGGCACAGGTGAATGCAGGTACAGGTTGTAAGTCGGCCACAGCCGCAGAAAAAAAATGGACTAATAGTATTGATAAATAGTAAAGCTTAATAAAATTGTTATAGAATATATATTCTCACACAATTAATATAAAAAAAAAAAAAATAATATGCTTATATATAATTAACATACAAAAATTTTTTCTTTGAAAAAAAAAATTTTTTTGGTAATCACAAAAAGTGTAAAATGGTGTTTATAATTACGTTTAAATAATTCTGAAATACAAAATTTGTCACATTTTCTATGAGATGTTTTGTCTGCTCTGCTACTCCGTAATAGTTAAATCATTATTTATTTTATTATTTAAATAAGTGTTATATTATAATGAAATTCGGTAAGATAAATAAATTATGAATTATGACTATCCAAATATCCAAATATATTATAAAATCAATTTTTATATTATATTTATGATAAACTCATATGATACATCAAGTAGATCATAGAATCATCATTGTTTAAGACACCAGCACAACAGACAGAAACTTCAAGACGCACGGAGATCACCAAAGTTAAGCAGCATTGAGCAGAGTTAATCGTTGGATGGGTGACTGCTGGTGTTATAGCCATTAAATTGGATCTAGATATTTTTTTTGCATCTTGATCGGTTACACAGAATTGCGTAGGACCATATTAAATACTCTATGCATAAAATTAACTCAATAATTAATTAGATGTAATAAATCTATAATTAAATATTTTTATATATAATTGTATATAGTTATATATAATAATATATAATTAGATATGATTATATTTGGCTATTTTTTATATATAATCATATATAACCAATTTATATATAAATATATATAATTATATATAAATATTTTTTCTCGGGTAAAGGCCATCCCTGAAACTTCCGCTAATTCCATATCTAAACGCTTAAAATTGCACTTATGAGGTTTTTGAGTTCTTCAAGTCAAAAGTCTGACAAAAGACTCGAAGAACACTATTTTTGGAACTTTCGAACCGATCAATCAACCAATCAACCCATTTTCACGATCTTGGCAACAATCGACGTGGTTTTTTAGACACCGAAAATTATTTTATTTCATCAAAAACAATCTAAAAGAAACGTCGACGTTATGTAAAAAAAAAACATTTTTTTCGATTATTCGTTGATTCATTTAAGAGCTATTGCACTTCGAAAGTTAAAAAAATAGTGTTCTATGCAACTTTTATCAGACTTTTGGCTTGAAGAGCTCAAAAACCTCATAAGTGCAATTTTAAGGGCTTAGATATGGAATTAGCGGAATGGAATATGTTGCAGGGATGGCCTTTAGGGTCATTTCCAGATTTTTTTGTGATAAATGAACGTTATGAGACGTGCACTTTTTCTGATTTTCCAAACTTATCTTTTCTCTCCTTGTAGAGTAATAAATTGATAATTCCGTGAACCTTTTAAAAATTTAATTCATTCAACTCGGGTCATGATTTTCTTA